CTCCTGAGTCCCCGAACCACATGAAGGGCCCCTCGAATAGTTGTTTAGGGTTTACGGTTTAGGATTTAGGGTTTAGGGGAAGTTCAGGCCATTTTCCTAGACGGGAAGATAACGGTTCACCCCTAAGCCACACCCTCAACCCAAACGCCAGAACCCAACACAACAGATGTCTCAGATTTCGCTCTTGCAGCGACAAGGACGGGTCTAGTAGGGTTCAGGGTTTAGGGCTGGGATGTTCCCCCTTATACGACCAGTCCTTCACAGGGATTATAGTACCCCCTCTGATAATCCCCAGTAAGGACTGTTAGGGTAACATTTTAGGGTTTAGGGTTCAGGGTTTAGTTTGGGGTTTAGGGTAACCTAAAGCCCTAAACCCTCATCTCGCAGACTGAGTGAGGTTCACCTGCCTTGTGGGATTGAATTTTGCAGGCGCGCGAAAGGTTCTGCCTAATTAAGCCCTATATAAACTTTCGGTTTAGGGTTCAGGGTTCAGGGTTTAGGGTTTAGGGTTGAGGGTGGCCCTAAAACGAAAGCCAAGACCCTCACCTCCGATAATGTAGGGATATCAGTGACAGGGCTTCTGCGAGGTCTCTTAGAGGTCAAGTTGCCAGAAGCTCTTGCCGAGATCTGCGGCAAGAGATCCCCGAGTTTAGGGCTTAGGGCTTAGGGCTTAGGGCTAGACCATGCAGGGTTCAGGGTTCAGCTAAACCCTGAACCTCCCAGCCCTGAACCCGCAACTGGGTAAAATCACCGGGCGCCCTTCGTTGCTTGAAGGCGGCAAGGGGGCACTAGTCCCGAAACCCTAAAACCGGAAAGCCTTAAACCTAAGTGAAGGGACTAAGGGTACAAGCTAGGCATCCCCAATCCCAATAACCCTAAACCGCCTAAACCCTAGCCCCCAAAAACCTGAACCCTAAAACCCAAAACAATCAAACAAAAAGCAGGAGACACACTATCGACTAAGGGTACTACTGGCATCCGCAGTCCTAAGCCCTGAAATCCCTAGCAACCCTTCGCAAACCCTGAACACTCATCCAAACCTTCAGGTTCTGGCAACCAGCTAACCTCCAGAACCCCCATTTCCCTCCGGCTAACCTTTGGGTTAGGGTTTAGGGCATTTTTGGTCTCAGGGTTCAGGGTATGGGGTTTAGGGTATATGGCTTAGGGCTTGGGGTTTAGCTTCGAGAGCCGAGGGCCGAGGATTCTTTTTTCTCCAAGCGGCCAGGCGGCCCCTCGGCGTACCCAAAGAGCCCAATATTGCTTAATTAAGGAATATACTTTAAACCATATAGGGATCCTTAATATGATTTAAGGTACATTCCTTAATTAAGCAATATTGGGCTCTTTGGGGAATTCGCTGTACAGGCAGGCTTGGGGGGGATGTCCTATCATGGACCCAGCTCCCAGACTCTGGGAGGACCCAGCAAGTCGAAGCACCAACCCTAAACCCTAAACCCTAAACCCTAAACCCTAAACCCTAAACCCTAAACCCTAAACCCTAAACCCTAAACCTTAACCCTAAACCCTAAACCCTAAACCCTAAACCCTAAACCCTAAACCCTAAGCCCTAAGCCCTAAGCCCTAAACCCTAAACCCTAAACCCTAAACCCTAAACCCTAAACCCTAAACCCTAAACCCTAAACCCAAACCCTAGTGCACTGCACAATGATACCCTCCCTTCCGAGGAATCGACTTCCTAGATCCTCACCGAAAGTCTGGGTTGGTACCAGGCTGCTGCCTCTTCCTATAACTGCCCATGCCTTTGTGGAATATGAACACAGAGTGTATAGAAAGATATGAACCTCTGTAACTATGCTCCGGTTGTGTATGTATGCATATATCATCCAACAGCCCCAAACCCTGAGCCCTCAACCTTTAACTCCAACAACCCTGAGCCTTAACAGCCCTAAACAGTAAACCTTAAACCCCAAATCCTAGGGCTGAGGGCTTCGTCCCTAGAAGCCAAACCTCACGGACACTACGGCAAAGGCTTAAGATAGGGCTTGTGGGGTTATTAGGGTTTTGCTTCTAGGGCTTGTAGGGAGAGGTGCAAGTGCAGGGCGCGTGGCGACTGTGTCTGGGAACTTAGCCCCTTGCGACACAGAGGTCCACGGCCGGGGAAAAATCCCAAGCCTGCTGGCCCTTAAACCTCTCAACCCTCAACCTCCAATCCAGTTCACATCCTCTCCTAAATCCAAGGCCACCTTCCTTCTCAAAGCCAACACTAAAGCAGTTCAAAACTTCACACTTGTGGTGCACCTGATTGCCCAGTCTGGGGCATGCCCCAAGACAAGAAGAGTTCAGGTCTTCGGGATACGGCGTTCGACAAGGTCTTGGAGTTAGGACACGCCCATTTACACTGAGCTCCACACATTCTTCCGACTCGAGAAGAGAGCGGGCATCACGGCTCGTTGTGAGCCATTTAATTTCTCCCCGGTTCTTGGAAGTCGACTTCAGCCACTCGGGTATGAAAAATCAAACCTTAAACTACCTGAAACCCTAAACCCTAAAACCCTGCAACCCTAAACCCCATAACCCCAGACCCTAAAAACCCAAACCCCAAACCCTAAAACCATATAGCCCTATAACCCTAAAGCCCTAAACCCTAAACCCTAAACCCTAAACCCTTAAAAACCCTCAACCCTCAACCCTAAACCCGGTTGCTTCCAAGAACGCCCGACGCACGGTGCATGCGGACATCTGCACTCCGCGGTTGCAGGGAGGAGCCCGTCCGACTCGGAAAGGTTTTAGTTTAGGGTTTAGGGTTTTGGGATTAGGGTTTAGGGTTTAGGGATTAGGGTTAAGGGTTAAGGGTTAGGGGTTAGAACCCCTATCTGCATCCTTGATTCAGAAGCCCCCGTATCCCTTTCAGATCCCCTGCCGAACGCGGGACAACAATCGGGAGACACATCCGGCTGCATGTGGAATCCATCGTCTCCGTCGCGGTCTCCTTGATGGGCTTGGGTCTTTTGGCGTCAGGGTTGAACCCAACTTGGAGGTTCATGGGTAGTTATACGTAGGGTTATAAGCACCCGAATAGGGTTATAAGTCTAGCTGCCATACTCATATCCCTGCTTATAACTACCCATTGGCCTCCAAGCAAACCCCAAAACCAAGAACAAAATTCGAACCCTAAACCCTAAACCCTAAACCCTAAACCCTAAACCCTAAACCCTAAACCCTAAACCCTAAACCCTAAACCCTAAACCTGAGCTCCTCGACTTTGGGCTGGAGCGCATCACTGGAGGGTGCAGGCACACACTGCCTCAGCTTGTTCAGGATGAGCCCTACACCTGAAGCCCTAAACCCTAAACCCTAAACCCTAAACCCTAAACCCTAAACGCCCCAAGCCAAAGTCTATACACAACCGTGCCTCCTGGGCCGCCAAGCGGCAGCCCCCCGAATTTCACTGACGGCTCGTAGCCGCTTCACCTAAGTCGTATCTCTGAGAGCTTAGGGATTACAGGGGTTTAGGGTCTTAGGGGGTTTAGGGTTTAGGGATAGGGGTTTGGGGTTTAGAGTCTTTGGGGGTTTAGAGTTTAGGGGGTTTCGGGGGTTTAGGGTTTAGGGGTTTAGTGGTTTAGGGGTTTAGGGCTTAGGGCTTAGGGCTTAGGGTCCAGGGCTGAGGCTCCAAACTTCTAGAGACAGCCAGGCCGCGGTCTCTTGGTGTTTCAAGCTGGCCTGCGACTGAAGCTGATCCTGCATGCAGCTTCGCAACCCCCCCCCCCCCAAAAAAAAAAAAAAGAAAGGAAGAAGGCAAATGGCAAAACAACAAACACAATAATAACAATAATCCTACTAATAACAACAAAGAAGACCCTGAACCCCTGAACCCTAAACCCAACAATAATAGCAAATAAACGGAAATCATTTTGTAGAAAAGAAGTATCTAAACGTATCTAAACACCAGCCCTGACCCTAAAACCCCTAAAAACCTTAAACCCTAGGCCCTGCCTGAATGTGCTGCTCCTTAGCTTTGGAGTAGACCCTGGAAAAAAGTATATACTTTTTAGGTAATAAGTAGCAATAATAGGAACCCAGAACCAAAAAAAGTATTAAAGTATAGTACTCCAAAGCCCAGGCTCCACCGCTTGCATGCTGTCCAGCTGAAGTTGGAGGCCAGACCTTCAGGACCAAACGAACCGACAAAAAATGGGGGTGACATACCCAATACTACTATAATCCCCTGTTAGGGTACGTACTCCTAAACCCTAAACCCTAAACCCTTTCAGGGTTCAATTTGGTCCCCCCGGGACCGGTGCAGCTGCTTGAATTCGTCTGCGGCCGGGATGTGCACCAGGAAGACATCCTACTAAAAGGGGCCTTAATTACCTTGGGGACCAAATGAACCCTAAAAGGGTTTAGGGTTTAGGGTTTAGAGTTTAGGGCTAGGGCTACAGGGGCCTTAACAATCATTCCGAACGCTATCCTGCAAGCGGTGTCTTGTGAACCAACGTCCTTGTGCATTGGGGCTTAGGGCTGGGCTTTTTGGGCTTTGGGCTTTGGGCTTAGGGCTTACGGCTTTAGGGTTTAGGGTTTAGGATTTAAGGTTTAGGGCTTAAAGTTTAGGGTTTAGGGGTTAAGAGACTTACACATGCATCGCACGCGCAGTCATCCATGCTGTAGGGCTAGAACTATTAATTAGGCTTTGAGCTCTAGCATGCGGGGGCTGCTGGAAACTCGTGGCCATCTTTGGTGTCCTCAACTTGCAGGAAATGAAGTTACTTAAGAACCCTCCCCGCAAAAAAACACAAAAGAAGATAACAATCCCTGGCCCTAATATAATTAACCCTTATAAGGAATCATAATCTTTATTTTTTTGGGGGGGGTTCTTGGGGACACGAAGTAGTACATGCTCCAAGTACGAGACCCAGGAAGCACGCTCTACAGGTAAGGGCGGCTGAGATAGATCGAGCTCTAGCCGAAACCCGTAGACCCGAAACCCTAAACCCTAAACCCTAAACCCTAAACCCGAAACCCTAAACCCGAAACCCTAAACCCTAAACCCAGGTCGCCACATCCTTGCAGATCTCGTGCTGCACTTCCCCTTCGAAGCCCTGGAAAACGGAGCCATCTGCGATGACCACGCGCGATCCCACCTTCGCCCTAAACTCTTAAGGTTTAGGGTTTAGGGTTTAGGGTTTAGGGTTTAGGGCTTAGGGCTTAGGGTTTAGTCTCTGCATTGAAAGGCACCGGAAGGTATGCTCGGAGGTCATATTCCGGCTTGAAGAGTATCTGGAAGACGTGCGAAGCAGGATGGCGCCCTGCCCCAGAAGCATCGCCTTTGTTTGGTTCTGAGCTAGGGAAGGAGGGAATTAGGCACCTTATATCCCCTAGTACATACCCCTGAAGGGACTACAGTAAACTCCAAAAAGTTGGAACATCCTTATCCTCACACCTCAAAAGGAAAACTAAAGGGAATCCCAGCTCGAATCATCCTTGAACCATTTTCCAACTTTCTGGAGTTTGTAGGAACCTTACATCCCCCCTATTACCTGCCCTTTTAGGGATTCATATAGGCCAGGATGGCACTTAAAACCCTGTCTGAGACAGATTCTTCAGTATGATCCTCTTCAACCCAATAAGGGAACATACAAAATGTCCCAAAACCTAGTAGGGCACCTCATGCCCTCAATTCCCCCTACTACTTGTACCCCTAAACCCTAAACCCTAAACCCTAAACCCTAAACCCTAAACCCTAAACCCTAAACCCTAAACCCTAAACCCTAAACCCTAAACCCTAAACCCTAAACCCTACACCGACTAAGAATCCAGAAAGGTCGCCGTCGCAGCTCGCGCACAAGTTGTAGTCGGGGCAGTGGATGCATCTGAAGCGTGGGCCGACAATGCACTCCTTGCCTTCTTGGGTTTAGGGTTTAGGGTTTAGGGTTTAGGGCTTAGGGCTTAGGGCTTAGGGTTTAGGGCTCTCTTTTCCGGACATCAAGTAGGGGAAAGTTGGTCCTAAACCCTAAACCCTATAAACTATTAACCCTATGAACCCTATAAACCCTATAAGCCCTATAAACCCTACAAACCCTATAAGCCCTATAAACCGTATAAACCCTACAAACCCCATAAACCCCATACACCCTATAAACCCTATAAGCCCTATAAACCCTATAAACCCTATAAACCCTATAAACCCTATAAGCCCTATAAACCCTATAAACCCCATAAAACTTATAAGCCGTATAAACCCTACAAACCCTATAAACCCTATAAACCCTATAAACCCTATAAGCCCTATAAGCCCTAATAAACCCTATAAACCCTAATAAACCCTATAAACCCTACAAACCCCTATAAACCCCATAAACCCCTAAACCCTAAACCCTAAACCCTATAAACCCTAAAATTGCCAAGTTACATCTAGAGCATCTGCAGAATGGATGTCGAACTCCGGAACCACGCACTCTCACATCGGCTACCTTGGCTGACTGCTGAACCCCCCTCCTAAGGTTTAGGGTCGAGGGTTTAGGGTTTAGGGTTTAGGGTTTAGGGTTTGGGTTTAGGGATAGGGTTTAGGGTTTAGGGTTTAGGGCTAGAAGAAAGCCAAGCCACGTTCAGCAGGGGCAGCTGACGGGAGTCAGGAGCTGCTTGGTATGCCCGCGCCTTGCTACTAAACCCTGGTAGCCCTAAGCCCTAAACCCAGAATCCCAAAAATGGGTTTAGGGTTTAGGGTTTGGGGTTTAGGGTTCAGGGTTCAGGGCTTAGGCGAACTCCATAAGCCCTCAGCACCTAAAGCCTCCTTAAAGCACTAAACTCTAATCTCCAGCTTGTCCGAGACTGAGCGAAACCCTAAACCCTAAACGATAGCAAGCCCCAAAGCACTCGACCTTCCCAACTTCCCTACTTAATAACACCTAAGCCTGGACACTTCAGCCCCTGCTACTTACTTCTCCAGTCACTAAGGAAAAAAGAGGTTAAGCTTGGTAGGGTTAAGTGGTTGCAACATCAAGCCCAAAGCCCTAAATAAACCCCTAAACTTAACACTAAGCCCCTAAAACCCTAAGCCGCTGAACCCGAGCCCCTAACCTCACAACCCCGAAAAGTCCTAAAAGTCCTAAAAAGCCCTAAAGGCCCCAAAGCAAACCCTAAACCCTAAACCCTAAACCCTAAACCCTAAACCCTAAACCCTAAACCCTAAACCCTAAACCCTAAACCCTAAACCCTAAACCCTAAACCCTAAACCCTAAACCCTAAACCCTAAACCCTAAACTCCCCGAGGTGCCTTGTTCCACTGGAAGCGATGCCCGCACCCCTGCTGCAGGTTGCCGCCGTGGGCATCTTGGCCACAGACCATGCTGTTGCAGCCATCCTCATCTCCCAGGGATTGGGGTGCAGGGCTTAGGGTTTAGGGTTTAGGGCCGGTTTAGGGCTTAGGGTTTAGGGGTTAGGGCTTTTAGGGCTATCTCTCAGGGTTTAGGGGTTTGGGGGTTTGGGGGTCTGGGGGTCTGGGGGTTTGGGGGTTTGGGGGTTTGGGGGTTTGGGGGTTTGGGGGTTTGGGGGGTTTGGGGGTTTGGGGGTTTGGGGGTTTGGGGGTTTGGGGGTTTGGGGGTTTGGGGGTTTGGGGGTTTGGGGGTTTGGGGGTTTGGGGGTTGGGGGGTTTGGGGGTTGGGGGGTTTGGGGGTTTAGTTTTTTTTTTTTTTGGGTGGGGCGGGGGGGGGGGCTTTCGGGGGTTTGACGGGTCTACAGGGCAGCTAAACCTTTTGACCTTTTTAAACCCCTGACACCTGAATCTTCAACCCTAAACCTTGGGATGTTCCCCCTTACACTGGCAGTCCTATTAGAATGCCTATTAGGGGCTGTTAGAAAAGGGGGAACACCCCAAACCTTACCCTACATCCTCAACCCTAAACCCCTAAACCCTAAGCCCCCGCAAAAACCTTGAATCCCCAATATGTTCCCAGCCAGCAGCGATCTTCTGCACCACACGCCGGCATTGAGGACACTCTCGGCAGTTCCTCGGCTGCTTTCGTACCAACAGTGGAACTTTAAACTTTTTGCCTTTCCTTATTTAGTAGGAGTAATAAAGTTGAATCGTTTCCCCCTTGGTTATTGGAGAAATAAGATAAGAAACATAAGAGTAAAGCTAATAAAAGAAGAAGGACGCCAGATTCTGCACGCTGTATCCCTATATGTGTATGTATATACGTATATATGTATATGTGTATATATCGAATACATCCTTTTACAATACCATGTAAAGGGCCCTAAACCCTAAACCCAAACCTTAAACCCTAAACCCCAAACCCGATGTTTCGAAACGGCAACTTAGGTTCGTCTGCTTCCACTCCTCGTCGCGCTTCAACTCGGCATGGCGCTCTGTTGCTTCTTGCAGGGCTCTCTTCCTGGGCTTCTGGGAATGGAATGAGGTTTAGGGTTTAGGGTTTAGGGTTTACGGTTAGGGTCTAGGGTAGATCATGTCGCCACAAGAAAGAAACTACAACAACTGCTACTCAAGTCATGGCAAGTTTGATTTACAAACCCTGTGAACCTAAGCCCAACAGCATTATTTAACAGCAGCCCAGCTTCTGTCGCTCGAACTCTTCGTGTTGTGCTTTCGTCTGGTTGTAGACCGAGCGCCCATGGGACACCCACTGCAGCCACTGGTCACGGAGAGCCTGCACGTCGCAACAGTCCACGGCCTCGGTTGCCCAGCAAGGGCTTAGGGGTTTCGGGTTTAGGGTTTGGGGTTTGGGGTTTAGGGTTTAGGGAAAAACGGGAATAGTGAGCCTTGCGCCCTACCTCAACCCCAAGCTGGCAGCCTAGCCGCGTAGTGGTAGGGTTGCCTGCACGTCGTACACCAGGCAGGCCAGTCGCAACATGCCACGCGCTGCCGGCCACTTCCGGGCTCAACACCTCGGCCATCTGTCTAAAGCTTAGGGGGTTCAGGAGTTTAGGGTTTAGGGGTTTAGGGGTTTAGGGGTTTAGGGGTTTAGGGTTTGTAATTCCAGGGACTGGATCTAGCAACCCAATTATTAGGGGCCCTAGCGGTACCGGAACTCTTGTTTATACTACCGCCCCCCCCCCCCCCCTAACAAAAAACAAAAATGAACTAAACCCCTAAGCCCTAAACCTTAAACCCTAAACCCCATATCCTAAACCCTAAACACCAAAAAATGAAGAAACATCTGATGAAATGGGCCCATCTATCGGTGGATTTGATGGTTTAGGGTCTGAGGTTGGAGGAGTTTCGGGTTAAGGGGGTTACGAAAGGGTAAACGTGATCACCCCGAACCCTAAACCCTAAACCCTAAACCCTAAACCCTAAACCCTAAACCCTAAACCCTAAACCCTAAACCCTAAACCCTACCTTTCCGAGGCACTGATGATGGAGGCGCAGCATGGGTTTGGGCAGTGGACGACATCCCCGAGGACAAAGATCGCTCGCAGCAGCAGCTCATCTCGGAAGCTGCTCACCTAATATAGGGGCCTTAATAGGGTTTGGGGTTTAGGGTTAAAAGGGCCTTAACAAATAGAATAGGGTTTTGGCGATTCCTTCTGTCATATTTATATAGGAACCATAAGGGGAATGAAAATCGTAACTATTCCCGGCTAGGCGGCAGACAGGCACCGATGCTGCGATTAGGGCTTAGGGCTTTGGGTCTAAATAATATATATATATACATACATACATACATACATACATACATACATACATACATACATACATACATACATACATACATACATACATACATACATGTGTGTATATATGTAGATATATATATATATATATATATATATATTCGGGTTTAGAGTTTAGGTGGCTTGACTCGGTAGCCACGCTAGCGAATAAGTACTATCATTCTAAATGGCCTAGAACCTTAAAAGGGTATAAGGATGCCATTGCTAGCACCTCAAAAACTATACTCCCCTTAGAACCATATTTAAAAAAAACAACAATACTTTTAATATCCTCTTGGGTTTTACAGAAACCAAAAATAGAAAATAAATTCCCCAGAGGGGGATATAGCAAAAGTGTAAGGATGCCATTGCGCTTCCGAGCAGCCGCCTCCGAACCTTCGCCGCAGATCTCAACAAGCTCCTCATCCTAGGGAACGACATGAACCCTGAAATTGGGGTCATCATACCCTAACCCCTAAACCCTAAACCCTAAACCCTAAACCCTAAACCCTAAACCCTAAACCCTAAACCCTAAACCCTAAACCCTAAACCCTAGCTATTAAGGTACATGAACCCTAAACCCTTTTAGGCTTCATTTCGTCCCCGGGGATCCGACAGCTCGTGGTCGCAGCCTCCGCCAGGACAGCGCGGCAAGCGCCGAGTGGAGGCCTAGGATGGCCCTTAAAAGCCCTCTGAAAAAAACTCTAAGTTGTTTAGGGTTTAGGGTTTAGGGTTTAGGGTTTAGGGTTTAGGGTTTCGGGCTTCGGGTTTCGGGTTTAGGGGATCCTCTTGAACCCAATAAAGGAACATATGACATGTCCCAAGGGCCTACCGAGAGGCGTGCTGGGCTAGGCAGAGGCGGCAGAAGCGATGAGCTCGGGAGCATCGCACTGCTATCACACTTCCAGACTGCCCGGGGAAGGATTCAAAACAAATCGGGCACCTTCGTAGCCCAGTAAGCCATAGTCCAATAAGGGCACCCTTTTCTCTAGTTCATTATTGGGATAATATTAAAAATTAAAATTGGTATTCCTTATTGGGTGTAAGTACCCTTAAACATGTAAAATGTTACCCAACTATGACAAAGTTCTGGGTTGGTTGCTTTACAAGGTAGCCCAGAACCAAAAAAAGGCTAAAGGGTACCACTGGGCCACCAAGGCACTGGAAGGGCACAGCAAGCCTCGACTCGGGTGACTCGTCGAAATCTCTGGGCGGCTCGGGCAACGCCAGGGGTAGGGGCGCCTCCCGCGGAACGCATCCCATGCACAGCATGCTGCTCCTTCCTTCCCCTTGCTAGGCAACAAACGCTGCGGCATCTTACCTAGACCCAGGAGTACCCAAAGAGCCCAATATTGCTTAATTAAGGAATATACCTTAAATCATATTAAGGATCCCTATATGATTTAAGGCATATACCTTAATTAAGCAATATTAGGCTCTTTGGGTAACCTAGGAATGCAAAGGGTGCCCTTTTTGGTTTTCGGGGGGGGTGAGAAGAGAACCCGAACCCAAAAAAATGGGAATAAGGGCCTACTCTGGGTCCCAGGTTCTTCGAAAGCCCCACTTATAGCAACCCGAAACCGTACGGTCCGATGCAAAAATCATCCGCGTGGGTATTCACAGGGTCTATGCTGCGAACTCCATGGCCATGGGCCTCTGTACCAAGGCGTGGAGGCTGAGACTTAGCTTTGGGGCGCCCCTAAACCCAAACCCCAAACCCCAAATGCTAAACCCTAAACCCCAAACCCACAAACCCTAAACCCCCCGAACCCTATAAGCAAAGCCCTACATGTTGAAAGCATGAAGAGGGGCCATGGTCATGCCAAACTTGGAGATGTTGTAGGCGGTGAAGCCCTTGTACCTGCAGGCAGCAGTTCTTGGTCACAAGGTTCAGGTCTAGGGGGTAAGGGGCTAGGGGTTTAGGGGTTAGGGTTTAGGTTTAGGGGTTTAGGGGTTTAGGGGTTTAGGGGTTTAGGGGTTTAGGGGTTTAGGGGTTTAGGGGTTTAGGGGTTTAGGGGTTTAGGGGTTTAGGGGTTTAGGGGTTTAGGGGTTTAGGGGTTTAGGCGATTTGTAGGGCCTGGGGGCCTCGAAGCTGGAAACCCTGTGTAGAACGTCGCAACTCCTTTGTGAACCCCTGTAAGCCCTTGCATAACCTTTGTCAACCCGTAGCTGCCAATGCGCCCCTGCGGTTTAGGGTTTTGGGGTTTTGGGGTTTTGGGGCTTTGGGGTTTTGGGGTTTTGGGGTTTTGGGGCTTTGGAGTTTTGGGGTTTTGGGGTTTTGGGGCTTTGGGGTTTTGGGGTTTTGGGGTTTTTGGGTTTCGGGGTTTAGGGTTGAAGGGTTTAGAGTTTAGGGTTGAAGGGTTGAAAGGTTGAGGGTTTAGGGTTTCGGGTTTCGTGTGCTAGCCCTCTGGAGGAACTGGGAAACATAAGCTGGCAACAATGGTTTGGGGCATAGGATCTGGGGTTCAGGATCAAGTTTTCCTACCCAAAAAACACAAAGCACACTCATTGCTTAAGGGGGATAACCCCTGTACGCCCCCGTAAGCCCTAAACCCTAAACCTTAAACCCTAAACCCTAAACCCTTACCCCTTAACCCTAAACCCTAACAAGCCCTCAAGCAATGAAGGCGCGGTTGTTCGCATCAGTTGTTGACCATCACCGCCCTCAAATCATAACTGCTTAAAATCCCACACCATCAATCCTAAAACCCTTAAACAGGTTCAAAGCAGAGAGCCCTAGACCCTAAACCCTGAACCCTGAACCCCCAAACGACTGGGGCGCCGGCGCACGGAAGTCCGTCTGGATGGGGGGGCTCATGCCTGTCGCGTCATCCCGTCTCAAGGGTTTAGAGGGTTTAAGGGTATAGGGTTACTTACCCTAAACCCTAAACCCTAAGAATCACTCTAAACTCTAAGGACCTGCAACCTGTAGGGAAAAAGGCTTTGCTGAATGGCAGCCCTGCGTTGGGGGGCTGATGGGCTTATAGGGCACCTAAACCCCTAAACCCCTAAACCCCTAAACCCCTAAACCCCTAAACCCCTAAACCCCAAAACCCCAAAACCCCTAAACCCCTAAAACCCTAAACCCCTAAACCCCTAAAACCCTAAACCCCTAAACCCCTAAACCCCAAACCCTAAACCCTAAAAACAAACCCCCATCGGACCCGACAGCTTGGGCCGATGCAGATCACTCGTCCGTACCTTTCGAAGGCGATGTGGGATAGGGGTTGAAGGGTTGAAGTTATACAGGCCGGTGGCCTCTTTATCTGTTACCCCTTATACCTTAACATAGCCCCTGGAGACCCTACTAAGAACCCCCTACAAAGCAGAACAAACTACTTAAAGAGACCACCGACCAGTAAAAGGTGGAAGGGCTTTCAGGGTTTAAGGGTTGGGCTTTTGGGGGATTTAGGGGGTTGGGGGTTGGGGGAGCTTGGGGTGCTGGAATTTAGGGGGCTTGGGGCTTTCGGGGTTTAATCGGGGGTTTGGTGTTAAGGCGGGTTGGGTTTGAGGGTGATTTGTTGGGGCTTGGGGCGGATTTGGGGTGAAGGGTTTTGGGGGTTTGGGGTTTAGGGCTGGACATTTGAGGTTTAGGGCTTAGGGTTTTGGGGTAGCGGTGCGCACCCGTTCTTCGCCATGATGGGCAGGCACAGATGAGTCAGTGCGAAGCTTCCTCGCCTGGGTGGAAGGCGCGGTTGAGGGTTTAGGGCTTAAGGGGGTGGATGCAGTTGGGACCTCCATCCGTACAACCTTTCATCCCGAGTCCTCTGAGTCAGGGTTTAGAGTTTAAGGGTTTAGGGCTTGGGCTCTGTGGTTTAGGGTTTAGGATTTAGTGCTGAGGTGAGCCCCTGACTCTGTGTATTCAAATTCCGCAGGGTGTCGCCGTGAGTCATCAAGAGGTACTTGCAGAACAGCGGTTCAGATGGCGCAAATCTACTCCCTTGAGCTCAACAACTAGTTCCCCGTTCAGTAGTTCCTGCCCCTTAAGTAGTAGGTATAACCTAGTAAACTGTAGGTCATGAGAGTTCATGGTAAACCCTAAAACCAGGCTGAAGCCCTCAAGCCCAATGCCCTGCCCTTGAACCTAACAGCTACTACCCAAAGAGCCCAATAGTGCTTAATTAAGGAATATTCCTTAAATCATATAGGGATCCTTAATATGATTTAAGGTATATTCCTTAATTAAGCTATATTGGGCTCTTTGGGTAGCGCCAAAAGAGCTTCTGTAATCCTCCTTCGCCCGTGTGGCGATTCCCACACTTTATAGGATTCTTAAGGGAGGGGGGGGTTCCAGTGAGGTAGGTACCTAGGGAACCTTGACAAGCCTTAGGGAGCCTTACAGAGTAGCGGGGAGTATCAGTATTAGGGAACCTTGGTTGCATACCCCTGAAACCCCCCCCCTAAGAACCCGATCACAGGCTGCAGGAAAGATCTTCAACTGACGAAGCGTTTAGGGTTGTCCTAAACCTTATAAGTCCTAAGCCCTAAGCCCGGAAACCCTAAGCCCACTTCACCATGCTGATGGCATAGTGCCTCTGGGCGCCCCACGCATTGATCTGGGTGATGAGGTCGTACTTATTCATGGGCGTGTCCTCGATCCTTCGCAGTAGAAAAGGATCTCCCGGCACCAAGAAGCGAAACCCTGAACTAGGGTTTAGGGTTTAGGGTTTAGGGTTTAGGGTTTAGGGTTTAGGGTTTAGGGTTTAGGGTTGAGGGTTTAGGGTTTAGGAACCCTCAACCAGAAGCCCTGACCCCTACACCCAACGCCAGAAAGCCTGAACCGTAACTTTTCATACACTATGATTCCCACTAACCCTCTGATGAACCCTATTCACCCTAACCTCTTGAACCCTATACATAAACCCGATCTCCGATCCTCCTAAAAAATATTTCGTGAGGTGGGTGAGTCAAAGCCTTAAGTCTAAACCCTAAACCCTAAACCCCAAACCCCAAAACCCCAAAACCCCAAACTCCAAACCCCAAACCCTATAGATATGCAAAAGCTTGCCTGTTTTGGGGGGTTTGAGGTTTGGGGCTCGGGAGCTCTCAGCCCTGAATGGCCTAAACCCCTTTATTCTCTAGCCGCGGAGGATGAAGCGCGAGGTTAGAGTTTAGGGTTGCAGGTTTGGGGGGCTTAGGACTATTTATGGGGCTTCGGGTTCTGTGCTGGAAGTTAGGTTTAGGATGGGATGAAAGGCTTAGGTCGCAAGACTTTCTAGCAGGGTTTGGGGTTGCGCGCTTGGCGCTTCTGCCGGGCCCTATTCCCAAACAGCACGCATGAGCGCAGTTCTTGGGGCCATTTACCATAAGCCCTAAATCCTAAACCCTAGGGTGTAATGACCACTAAGCCTGATCGCCAAAGGAATGTGCAATAAGCTTGCAGCCTGTCATCAGCCTCTGAAAAGAACCCTAAACCATAAACACTAAACCCTAAACCCTGAACACTTTGCCTTGGTAATCTTGCAGATCGCCGAGTAGAAGCTTCCCGCGCTGTAAAGTCACAAGTCTGAAGGCCCGAAACAACCCTGAACGTAAACCGCATGAATGCTACACCTCAAACCCCCAACGCTTCTTAAACCCTAACAGGGTTTAGTGTTTAGGGTAGATGCCAAAATAGGCTTCAGAGACAAGCTTATTGGGTTTCAGGCTTCAGGATTCGGGGTGGGGGGGGGGGAAAGGGGGTGCTAAGAAACAAAAGACTAGGCTTTTGGTGCTGTTTGGTGCTGTAAAGGTTTCGCGCTTGCAACTCACCCTAAACCCGAAACCCTAAACCCTAAATCTTAAACCCTACACCAAGTAAACGCCAGTCCTCTGCCACCACAGCGCGCTGGCATTGTTGACGAGGATGTCAATGCGTCCGAACTTTTCCACCTTCCAGGACCGGCTAAGGAGACTCAGGTTTAGGGTTTAGGGTTTAGGGTTTAGGGTTTCGGATTTAGGATTTAGGGTTCAGGGTTCAGGGTTTAATTCGGGTGCCGGGTTGACGTGTAATCCTTGCGAATCTCTGACGAAGGCTTATGTATCTCGTTCAATGTGGGATTATGAGCCAAGTAGTAGGCCCATCCTGGCCGTCACAAACGGGACAGATGCACTCACTCCTCCCTCCCTCCCCTTCCTACCCTCCCTTCCTCCCTCCCTATCCCTCTCTCTGTCTCTCCCTCTCCCTCTCTCTCTCTGTTTCTCTCTCTCTCTCTCTCTGTCTCTCCCTCTCTCTCTCTCTCCCTCCCTCTCTCTCTCTCGGAGCTTGTTCTGCCAAGTTCTCGCAAAATTTTGACATTGGGGGGAGAATACCCTAAATAACCATAATTTTACTAGGACACCGACCGGGCCTGGCCTAGAGTCCCCCTCAAACCGAGAACCTTAAACGTCAGAAATCGTCAAAGTTTCTGGAGTCTGTCTTGGAACTAGAGGGTTTGGGGGTTTGGGGGCTTCGACTGCGCTGTTTGGGTGTCGATGACTCAGGCTTTTAGGGCTTGGACTTGAACGGAACGGCGTAAAAAGACTTCAGTTTCGATGGCTTGGGAAGCTCGAGCGCATCGGGTAAATTGGCTCCTGCGCGTTCGCTGTAACTTGGAGCTTAAGCTCCCGACTGTCTGCCGCACGCACTCCTTCACGTCGTCCAGGCTGCGCATGTCTACCTGTGGCGGAGTCTACACAGAAAGTACATGAAAGTACTGGTTGCATCTGCGTACACCAAAAACCCAAAAACTCAGCACCATCCCCAGATCGAGGGGGTGATATCAATGGAACCAGTTTGGTTGAAGGTTTAGGGTGTTCAGGGCTTAACATGGAGTCCGTACTGGCCCTGGGCTGCGGCGCGCCTTCACGGGCAACGCCTGCACGCCTAGCTTCTCGAGCTCCTGCCAAGATGGCAACTTCAAGGCCAAAACCCAAAACCCCAAACCGAGAACCCTAAACCCCAAACTTCTTACATCCTGTAGCACCTGAAGCACTAAAACCCCCAACCCTGAACACCCCCGAATACTACTAGGCGAGCGCGCCCCCACATTCCTGGTCTGACTGTAGGTGTCAACACCCGAATTGCATGGTATTTACAATGGATTCGTGGTTTCGTGTCAAAAAGCGGAAACGGCCATTTTTAGGACCACTACTTTTGGGAAGAGGAAAGGCAGGATTTGGTATGGATTGACGTTATCATCGCGCGGACATGGATGCTCTGGGAACACGGATGTTATCATCGCGCGGGCATTATCATCGCGTGGACATGGATGCTCTGGTAACACGGACGCTGTCATGCACGCAACGAAGCCACGAAGTGTCGCAAATACCGATGTTTTACCATTTCATGAAATTTTATGTGCACGCAACACTGCAAATAACCACGGACGCTATCTGCAGTGTCCATTCGCACGCAACGAAGCCAGGAAGTGTCGTAAACACCGATGGTTTAGGCATAACAACCTGAGAAAGTACCAGGCGCCACAAGGAGCGCATGGCTACTTCTACTACTACTACTACGACGACGACGACGACTACTACTACTACTACTACTACTACAACTACTACTACTACTACTGCTACTACTACTACTACTACTACTGCTACTACTACTACTACTGCTACTACTACTACTACTACTACTACTACTACTACTACTGCTGCTGCTACTACTACTACTACTACTACTGCTACTACTAAAACTACTACTGCTAGTACTACTGCTGCTACTACTACTACTACTACTACTACTACTACTGCTACTACTAGTACTACTAGTACTGCTTCTACTGCTTCTACTGCTTCTACTACTACTTATTGCTACTACTACTACTACTACTACTACTACTACTACTACCACCACTACCTACTACTACTACCTACTACATACTAAAAACTACCTACTACCTACTACCTACTACTACCTACTACTACCTACTACTACTACTACTACTACTACTACTACTACTACTACTACTACTACTACTACTACTACTACTACTACTACTACTACTACTACTACTACTACTACTACTACTACTACTACTACTACTACTACTACTACTACTACTACTACTACTACTACTACTACTACTACTACTACTACTACTACTACTACTACTACTACTACTACTACTACTACTACTACTACTACTACTACTACTACTACTACTACTACTACTACTACTACTACTACTACTTACTACTGAACGCTGAGCGAGCGGGCTCTGCTCATTGCGGGCGATTCGCACCGTTCTGAGCACCGAAAATTGGTTTGGAGCTGTGGTCGGAGAGGTGAAGCTGAATTCACTAGGTGTAGACGGTGTGAGACGAGGCGAGCTTCTTGACTTGGTTGGGGTTTTGAGCAGGAGCTGTAGCTTGTTAGCTAGCTTTCCTATGGGTGAAAAATTTTGGCTCCCGTCATCCTACTGTGTCTCACTGCGTCCAGTAGACACGCACCTTCCTGCAAGTGGGTCGTACCTGATTGGCCGTCTCCCTCAATGTCCATCTTGTGGCGTCCCACATGGATCATTGTTGCAGGGAGGCAGAGGACCGTAGAGCAGTCACTTTGGCAGATTTGCAGCATTGAGTGTTTGGCTGGGCCTCCCGGATTCAGAGTGAGGCTATCCTCGCTAGTTACATGGCTGGTGAAGAAACAGTCGCAAACTGCAATGATGTGAAGACCTGCTTTTTCCCCCAGTGCTGTGCGACCTCTCAATCATCGATGTTTGTTCCTTTTGTACATGGGAGCAGTGCTCCTCATTAGCTGAGCAGTGCTCAGGTTAGGTTTGGTTCGGCTGTATAAATTAGAAAACTGACCAGTGTTCAGCGTCCAGGAGCTGAACTGCCAGACTCTGCCCGTTGTTCGAGCGTGCTGTATCCCACCACTGGAACTGGTGGGCCAGTAAGCGTGTGGATCGGGGAGACGAGGACGTGTTGATGAGGTCCAGCCGGCCCCTCGTAGTTGTGGATGTGCCCCTGTTGCAGCTGGAAGAACCAGGTGCGGCGTGGAACACCTTGAATGACCACTACCGGTCCTGGGCTGAGCGTCAAGCTCCAGAGTTGCAGCCTTTCCCCCGGCGTATACACTGGGGGCGCAGCCTCGTGCATTGGCCTTGTTCCCGGGAGTGGGAAGTCCGTTCCACTGCGTGATGGTGGTGGTGGCCCGGCCGGGCTAATGTAGGGAGGCACCCCGTTCCAAGCGATGGACAAGTTCGGGGCAGGCGTGGTAGGAAGGCCACCTTCCACTGGTCGTCCAGTGCGAGCCTTTGCTGCTGGGCGCAGCAGAGTGTCTCGTGCTGGCGCTGTGGGCATCTCGTCCGGGGAGGATCGAAACAGTGAATCCGTCTCCAACTCTTCACCGAAGTCGACAGCCTCCGCTTCCGAGCCGTCCTGCTCCTCTTCACTTCCCTCTGCCATCGCTAGCATGGCGTCAGGCTCTGTGCGACAATGGCGTTTCGGAGCCATTCGGAGGAAGTTAGAGACTTTCACTTAGAACAGAGAAATTGAGCCAGGGCCTGTACAACAAGCTTATTAAGCATTGTTTGTTGATGCACCTGTTGTGCCTGGTACATTGGCAGAGCGTTTAGCGTGCGAACACACTCGGATTATTCTTGAGCAGACCCGGCCTCACTTGTTGAAGGGATACGCTGCTCCAGGCTCAAGACCTGCCCGGCGGTCCGCCGGGGTGAACCGCTCTAGGCGGCAATTCCGGTATCCGCACCTCACGAAGTGAGGCCAGCCGCAGAGCCCATTACTTAGTGGGTAAATTTCTTTGCCGAGTTGTGTCTGTTTCGGCAGCTATTCTAGCCACTGAGCTGCACCTCGTCTCAAGAACGAGTCCGGCACAGAAGCGCACCCCTGTGGTAACGAGCGATACTGAAGAATGGGGCCAGCCTCGTGTGACTAGTAGCCGAGACGGTGCCCTGCCAAGTGAAGTGTGGCTGCTTGAGGCTAGGGGGACGGTAGTCTTTAGAGCGGTTAGTGGCTGTTTAGATCATGCTGCTTGTCCTGAAAGTACTCTGTCTTGCTTCTGGGCGCGCTGCCTTCGTTGGGTACTCCATCATGGAGCATCGCGGACCTTGGTAGCATTGCTTAGCTTGGCTATTTGCCTGCAACACAGTGATGAGAAACGGCAGACTCTGCTTAATGAGGTGGGTTGACTGAAATTTGCCAGAGGTGAGGAGAGGACTGTAAGCAGTTGGCATGAACAACTTAGTCCGCAGGCTTGCAGGGGTTTTTCTGTCCGTTCGGCTGTATCAGGCGGCCAATGAAGGCAAAAGAGGATGGAGAAACTTTTTGGCATCATAGCAGCTTAGCTGCTGTTGGCTCAGCATTTAGGACAGTGTCCTTTAACTGGGGCTTGCCGTGCAAACCTTGCGAATTGGAGGTGCCCGCTTCTAGTAATCGTGGCCTTTCCAGGACCATCCGGATCTTTTGTCCCATTGGGATTGGCTGTCTTCGCCGGCTTCTTCTCTGGGCCTTCGAAGACCGCGAGGTTGTGCAGGCTGCGCGGCTCTGCTGGACGGGTTTTTCGTCCAGTCGTTGTGCTTGATGCTGAAATGAGCTTCTCGCTGTGGTCCCTGCTTGATGTGGTAGGAGACCTTTGCCGTCCCGTTAACTCGCTTGGAGGTGAGGTCGTAGATGGTGGAGAAGGTAGCCGCAAATATGGTGTAGTCTTCAGCATCTTGGTCCGTGTGAATTTTGAAGCCTTCCTGAACCGCTGGATGATGGCGTGAAGCCCGCCTATCCAGCGGGTCGGTGAATCCAGCTCTACCCAGTGTCCCTCACGGAGGGTGGAAATTGTGACCGCTCCTGTAGGCCCGATGGTGACTTTGGCAGTCATAAGAACCTGCCATGTGAGCCCCGTTGCTGTCTGTGCTCGGTGCAGACTCTGCATGACTCTGGGAGGTTCACGCAAGATATCTAGTCTGCGTTGCCAGATTTTTGCCCATTCCCCTGCTGTCAAAAGGCCCATCACCTGAGGATTTGTGATGACCTGGACCTCGCTGGCCGTCTTAACCCATTCTTGGAAGCCCTGATCGCTGCATTGCTCCTGCATGGTGAGTGGCCGTTGTGGTGGAGGAGGAGGCACTCCGGCTGATTCGTACGGCCGTTCTTGTTCAACTGGAGGAGAGACCTGAGGAGGCTCCGGTGGAGCATTGGTCGGCGGAGCTTGGGGTTCTGGTGGTGACATCGTTGCCGTACGAGGATGGTCAGGATATGCTGTGGCATCCCTTCCAGGCGGTGGTCCTGTTGGCTCGGGAGGACGTTGAGTGCCGGCGCTGCTGCTGGACGAAGCCGCTAGGGCAGTGCCCTCGGGTTTTGCCCGAACAGTGTTCTGGAAGACCTCTGGTGATTGATTTTCTGGAATAGACTGAGTGAACTCTGCCTCCGTCTTGTGGTCCAGGGCTGCGCTGAATTTGATGGCCGAGTTGGCATGCCACCCCTGCCTGGCGAAATGCTGCTTGATGCCCGCGTCGTTGGAGAAGGAGATGTTTTTTCCGTGTTTGTTCCTGCAGAACGCACATTGGAGGTAGAGGGTGTCCGGGTTGATGCTGAGGCCGCGCGGGATCAGAGCCTGAACATCTCGCAATTCAAGGGTGCCGTAGTATTGTGGAAAGGCCTCGATCTGTTGCATAATCTTCTGGAGGAGGTTGGTCTCCATGGCCTCAGTGACATGGGCTGTGATCAGGGTCACCGTCGGCTTGTCCGCTGAGATTTCCTGGGTGGGCATTCCAGGCTCTGGTGGAGGATGGCGGGTACCGAAAAGCACTGCATTAGCTTCCGTCGGTATCTGGGACGAGGCAGATACCGCGTCGCCCCGGACAGTGTCCGGGGTACGGGTTTGTTGGCCCTCCTGCAGTGCGGTAGGCAAGTTGCGTAGAATGCCATTTTCCTGTGCCTGCTGGGTGCCCGGGTCGTTCTTCCATCCATGTCGCCATTGCCAGCATCTAGTCAAGGCCACCCTTTTCCCCGTCTTTGTTGTGAAGAAGTGCCCATCATTTCTGTATGGACCGTGCTGGCGGAGTTCTGTGCTCATCTCTTCTTGCAGAAGGTAGATTGGGCCCAGACGAGGACAAAGATGCCATCCGGGTGTCAGCTGGTCCGTGGGCGCAAGTCCGAGGTCGTCCTTGATGACCTTGAAGAGGACCTTGCAGAAGGTCATGTAGGATGGGGTGTGCTCGCGTCGCACAAAGTCATTGGCTAAG